TTATATGAGGCCAGCATCATCCTGATACCAAAACCTGGTAAAGACATAACAAATAAAGAAAACTTCAGGCCAATATCCTTGATGAACATTGATACAAAAGTTCTCAAGAAAATACGAGCAAACTGATTCCAGCAGCACATCAAAAAGCTTATCCTATGATCAAGTAGGCTTTATCCTTAGGATGCAAGGTTGGTTCAATATATGCAAATCAATAAAGGTGATTCATCATATAAATGGAACAAAAGACAAAAAAACACATGACTATCTCAATAGATGCAGGAAAGGCTTTTGATAAAATTCAACACCCAAAACCTCAATAAACCAGGTATTAAAGGAACATACCTTAAACTAATAAAAGCCATCTATGACGAATCCATAGCCAACATCTTATTGAATAGACAAAAGCTGGAAGCATTCCTGTTGAAAATCAGCACAAGACAAGTGATACATTTTGGCTGTGTCCCTACCCAAATCTCATTTTAAAATGTAGTTCCCATAATCCCCATGTGTCATGGGAGGGACCCTGTGGGAGGTACTTGGGTCATAAGGATGGTTATCTCCATGCTGCTCTCATGAGAGTGAGTGAATTATCATGAGATCTGATAGTTTTATAAGGGGCTTTCCTCCTTCTTTCCTCTGCACTTCTCCTTGCTGCTGTCATGTGAACAACATGTTTGCTTCCCTTTCTGCCATTATTGTAAGTTTCCTGAGGCCTCCCAAGCCATGCTGAACTGTGGATCAATTAAACCTTTTTTCCTTTATAAATTACACAGTCTTAGGTAAGTCTTTGTTAGTAGCATAAGAATGTACTAGTACAACAAGGATGCCCTCTCTCACCAACCCTTTTCAATATAGTATTAGAAGTCCTGGACGGAGCAATCAGGCAAGAGAAAGAAATAAGGGGCATCCAAGTGAGAGAGGGAATAAAAATATCTTTGTTTGCAGACAATATGATTCTATATCTAGAAAATACCATAGTCTCAGCCCAAAAGCTTCTTAAGCTGATAAACAATTTCAGCAAAGTCCCAGGATACAAAATCAATGTACACAAATTACTAGGATTCCTATACACTAACAACAACCAAACAAACAGCCAAATCAGAAATGCAGTCCACTCACAATTGCAACACACACACACACACACACACACACACACACACACACAAAATACCTAATAATACAACTAACCAGTGATGAGAAAGATCTCTGCAAGGAGTACTACAAAACACTGCTCAATGAAATCAGAGATGACACAACCAAATGTAAAAGCATTCCATGCTCATGGATATTAATAATCAATATTTTAAAAATGGCCATACCACCCAAAGGAATTTATAGATTAAATACTATTCTGATTAAACTACCATTGAAATTCTTCCCAGAGATAGAAAAAAATGGTTTTAAAATTCATACGAAACCAAAAAATGCCCAAATAGTCAAGGCATCCTAATCACACAAACTGACTTCAAACTGTACTACAGGGCTACAGTAACCAAAGAGCATGGTACTCATACAAAAACTGGCATATAGACCAATGCAACAGACTAGAGATTACAGAAATAAGGCTGCATACCTACAACTGTCTGATCTTCAACAAAGCTGACAAAAACAAGCAAAGGGGAAAGGACTCTATTCAATAAATGGTGCTGGGATAACTAGCTAGCCACATGCAGAAGATTGAAACTGAACCGCTTTCTTAAGCCATACACAAAAATTAATTCAAAATGCATTAAAGAATTAAATGTAAAACTCAAAACTATAAAAACCCTGGAAGACAAGGTAGGCAATACCATTCTAGACATAGGAACAGGCAAAGATTTTGTGACAAGGCACCAAAAGCAATTACAACAAAAGCAAAAATTGACAAATCGAATACAATTAAACTAAAGAGCTCTGCACAGCCAAAGAAACTATTGGCAGAGTTAACAGACCACCTACAGCACGGAAGAACATTTTTGCAAACTATGAGTCTTACAAAGGACTAATACCTAGCATTATTAAGAAACTTAAATTTAAAAAAAAAAAAAAAAAAAAAAACTCATGGAAATGTTGTCAAATGACAGACACTTTTCAAAAGAAGGCATACATGCAGCCAAAAAAATATGCAAAAAACCTCAACATCGAGAAATGCAATTAGAGAAATGCAAATCAAAACCACAAGATACCATTTCACACCAGTCAGAATGGCTATTATTAAAAAGTCAATAAATAACAGATGCTGGCAAGGTTGTAGAGAAAAAGGAAAATGTTTTCAACCATTGTGGAAAACAGTGTGATGATTTCTCGAAAGCCTAAAAATAGAGATACCATTGGACCCAGCAATCCCATTACTGGGTATATACCCAAAGGAATGTAAATCATTCTATTGTAAAGATACATGCACATGTATGTTAATTACAACCCTACTCACAATAGCAAAGACATGGAATCTACCTAAATGCCCATCAATGGTAGACTGGATAAAGAAGATGTGCTGCATTTATACCATGGAATACCATGCAACCACCAAAAATAACAAGATCTTGTCCTTTGTAGAAACATGGATGGAGCTGGAGGACATTATCTGTAGCAAACTAATGCAGAAACAGAAAACCAAATACCACATGTTCTCACTTATAATTGGGAGCTAAATGATGGGAACACATGGACATATAGAGGAGAACAATAGACACTGGGACCCATTGGAGGGTAGAGGGTGAGAGGAGCAAGAGGATCAGGAAAAATAATGAAAATAATGAATGGGTACTAAACTTAACCCCTGAGGGATGAAACAGTCTGTACAATGAACCCCTGTGATACAAACTTACCTATATAACAAACCTGCACATATACCCCTGAACTTAAAAGTTAATAAAGGAATATAAATGTTTTTATTGCCACCGAATTATACACTTAAAGATTGTAAAGATGACAAATTGCACACATATATTATACTTCTTCTTCTCTATACATCTCTTTATTTAGGATTTTGTTAATTTCTCTTAGCAATGTTTTATAGTTTTCAGATTCTTGTACATATGTTTTTATATTTAAATATTTTATATTTGTAGAGGCTATTGTAAATAGCTGTTTTTTAAATTTCGATTTCTAATTGTTCATAGCTAGTATACAGAAATACAATTTACTTTTTAATAACAGCCATGTATCCTGCAATTTTACTAAATTAATATATTCATTCTAGCAGTATTTGTTGTAGATTCTGTTAAATGTTTTACGTAGAGGATTTAGTCACTTGCAAATGAAGACAGTTTGACTTATCTTTTCCCATGTAGATTCTTTTTATTTTTTTATTTTTTTGCCTTATTATACTAGTTAGAAACTCCAGGATAATGTTAAATATAAGTAGTGACAGTGATCACCCCTGTTTTGTGCCTCGTTATATTTCTATTATTAGTTTTTGAGTTTTTTGTCAAGAATAGAAGCCATATCTTATCGTGGTTTTTCTGCATGTGTTGGGACATGTATATGAGTTTTCTTCTTTAGTCAGCTATTATGGTGAATTATGCTGATTGATTTTTTAATATTGAATCAAGTTGTATTCCTGGGACAAACCTAATTTTATGATATATTAGCCATTTTATTGACATAAAACCCCAGTTTTTAGTTTTACTGATTTTGCTCTATTGTTTTTCTGTTTTCTATTTTGTTAAATTTCCCTTCTTTAGTTTCTTCTCTTTATTACTTTGAGTTTAAGTTACTTTTCTTCTAGTTTCTTAAAGTGGAAGCAGAAGTCATTGATTTGAGGATTTTCTTCCTTTTTACATTTTCCTTGCATAGTAGTTTGCTGGTATACATTTTTATACTCTCATAAAAAATTATTGACAGTTAAGCTAGTTTGAAACAGTTTGCTCCTTTCAGGCTTGGCTTCTACGATTTGTTAGAGAAGACTAGAACAAAGTTTATTTAGTCTAGATTAACAGTTCCCCACTGCTCAGGCAGACCCTAAAGAGTACTCAGAGTCTCATGAATTATAATTTGAATTACATATTTGAATCTGGTTGTTGTTAACAGGCATGATTTCTGGACCCATATGAACTTGGGGACTCTTCTCTCTCATCCTTTCCAGTGGTTCTTTCACCAGCCTGGAGAAGTTGGCTCGCACACATGCATGCACTTACCAGTACTTGACTGAATGCTCCAGGATGACTCTTTTCAGATACTCACAGTTCCCTCTGCTGAACTCTCTACTCTTGACCCTCTGCCCAGTGAGATATAGCAACCCATAACTTTCCCATAACTTTCTCTTCCCATAACTTTTATTCATGGAATTATCTGGGCTCTGCTTTTGTCCTGTGTGTGCTGCTACTTATAATCTCTCTCTGGTAAATGGTGGATGCCATGGGATGCACCCAGTATTTCCTATTACCCAGAAATCAATGCCTTTCATTTCCTGATGTGCAATGTTTTCAAAAGTGTTGTTTCCTATATTTTGCTGTTGTGTGGTTGTTTTAGATGAAAAGATAAATCTAGTCCCTTTTGCTCCATACTGATCTGAGTGAAAGTATGGTCTTTACTTCTAAACTTTTATTCTCAGACATGTACTAGTTTAGTCACTCATGTGGTGAACTTCCTGAAGAAAGAACCTAAATCTTATGGTTCTTTATATTCCATAGGTAGTTCTGGGAACTTGATGAGTATCTACTGTATATCCGGTGATTTCTTACTAAAGGTTAATAAATGTTTATAATCTTCATCTAATATTTTTGGCTTGTTGATTTTTGTTTATAATACCAAACAATACACTTGTTGTACACATTGAATTGTTAAATAAAAGTATACTTGGGATATTATGTAAATACATTGCAAGCACTAACAATGACTAAAACATTTTAAATATAAAGCATATCATAATTCATTTAGTAAAATTTTATTTTTATCTGATGATTTATGTTAATTAAATCCAACTAAACCAAATCTTTTATTTTTGAAGCAAAAATGGGTGTGGATATATAAATATCTATATATTCATCATAAAAATACAGTATTTTAATTTATTTCAGGTGATAGTTAAGTCCGGCCCAGGAACTTTCCTCAGCTTGGCTGTTTATGACAATTATATATTCTGGTCAGACTGGGGAAGAAGAGCTATCCTGCGGTCCAACAAGTACACAGGAGGAGATACAAAAATTCTTCGTTCCGATATTCCACATCAGCCAATGGGAATCATAGCTGTTGCCAATGACACCAATAGCTGTAAGTTATAATAGAAAGCAAATGTATTTCCTCATTGTATAATCTCTGATCTCTAAAAATGTATATATGTTTCCTAGTAATAGTTGGATTTGTTTTTTCTTTTTAAAAATATTATTTTTTTATTACTACAATGGTTGATTTTGTTTTTTTTTATAGTTCTTAGGAATAGTGTTCAAGATTTGGCTGTTCAAAATGTTGAAATTATCTGAAATATTCAAGGCAACTTCTATATTGCATAATTTACCATCACAGGAGCAGTTCATTTTTAATTATTTCTTCTAAAAATCGTATTTCTCTCTCAATCTTCATATCTTTGAATTTTCAAATCAAGTTGTTTCAAATCATGAAAATTACGCTTGACAGATAAACTTTGCATCTGGGCTTAACAGTTCTTTAGTCAATGCAGTGCTTACAAAATTGCAGTTTGCAGTATCAATGTGGTTTCTAGCAGAACTAGTTCATTTGATGCCATGGTATCAGATGTATTAGAAAGATTTGATTAGCGTTACATACTTTTGTAATGTACTTAGCCTTAGGAGTGCTTAGATTTTCAAAAGTCCTGAATGTTGCTTTTTAATGGCATATTATTGAGATATTGAGGCAGTCTAATAGTTTACTATTAATATATATCTAACATAGAATAGAAATTCGATATAAAATGTTACCAATACAACCTCTTTATTGTAGGTGAACTTTCTCCATGTGCATTATTGAATGGAGGCTGCCATGATTTGTGCCTTTTAACTCCCAATGGGAGAGTGAATTGTTCCTGCAGAGGGGACCGAATATTGCTAGAGGACAACAGATGTGTGAGTAAGTAAAGAGAATTGAAATGTAATATGACATATCTGTTCCAAATTCCACACACATAACTGAAATTGTGTTTGTGTATTCATGAAGTTATACTCTCTTCCAATATTAGAAGCTTAGTCATGTTCTCTCTCTGCTCTAAAGAAAACTGAGTTCGCTGTTCTGCTTAGTTATAACACTATGTACTAGATAATGATAACCAAAATGGTAACATATGTTTTTACCCTCCTGGTCGTGCACTAGAAAGTATTGGGGCTAGGTAGAGAAGTATCTGCACACAATGGTCATCTGAAAACTTCCAGTTGTGACTTTGTGAATTCAATCAATAGCAAAAGGAATTGAAGCTGAAATAAACTGGTATACAGGCAGTATATCAGTAGCCTTGCAGTAAAACCACTCACAGTCCATCACAGTATGTAAATGAGAGAGAATGGCTCATGCAGCTTATTTGTAATCTTTTCCAAACTGTTAATTAAGAGTGTAACATTGCAGCCTTGCATGATGTTTATACCTCCCAAAGGCATTACAATCTTTAATTAGTACCATTACAATATACACTTATTAACAGCTAAGTTTCCAAAACTGTTTCCAAAATAAATCAAGGTTCAAGTGTTTCAATACTGCCATGAAAAGCTTGCAAGCAAAATTTAAAAAGGTTAATTTCCTTTTAACATTAAGACAATATATATATAAGGTGGGAGAGAAGAATCTTGTTGGAAATTGGTGAAATCACTCTCAGGATGTGTCAAATTTGATACATTTTTTTCTCTCCTCACCCATTAAATATATCCTCAGTGCATATCTTTTCATGCAGAAAATTAACAGATTTGGATATGTCTACATAATAAAAATAAGTATTTTTCATCTTCATCTTCAGTCGTTTTTTACTCTCTTTCCAATGGAAGGATTTTATCTCTTTCCTGCTCTTCAATGTAAGTGCTTGGGCATAATTTTCTTTAGCTTGAAAACTATTACACCATATACAAAATAACACAGACATATTTTCTCACTGTGCAAGTTGATACTACAACCCAAAAAGGCACCTCTTAGCACAAAAAGTAAAAGTTGTTTTATTTAAGACTGTGCCAAAGCAAATGAGAAAATGATGCAATTGGTCAAAATTTTAAATACAGATGGCCAATTTCCATATTTCGGGCCACAAATTCCCATATTTCTTTGTCACTTAACACTTCTCTGAATTGCTCAGGCAATGTCTTAAATTCTTTCAGTTTGCCTTGTGGTTTCAGCTGTAATGGTCTGGATCTGATGCCATCTGTAAGCCTGGAGTGTTAGACATGCATTAGAATCACTCATGTTTCTTTCACAGGTCACTGCAGGCTAGTAGTGAAGCAATGCCTTTAGTCACAACGGCAAAGCTTATTTCTGTACAGTGGAGGCCTGTCCTTGCTGCATAATACATTCAATACAACTGTCCCTACTAAGCTTCTCTCTATTGATGAGAGGAAATGAATCAGGAAGAAAACTGTCATTTTAAACAAGCACGATTGTATTCACATGGAACTGTAGAGTGATATTGGATTCCTCAGAGCCCCCAATCTGTTATAGAGGCAGACGACATCCATTGTGCATTCATATTGAAATCCTGTAGTCCAGCGGAGAGATTAGAGAGTAACTCTTGGCTTCTCCTTGTCAAATTCATCTTTAGGGACATGAGAATGTTTGTAGCATATCTGTGTCCTCATCTAAGTGATTTTACCCGGAGCAGTTCATGAATGTTAATGGCAACATTAAAGGGGTGAAAGGTCATGTACTAACACCTAACTGAGGGCAAATGAGGGAAAACCATTTGTTGTCATAACTGTTGACAAGAAGATTAGGCAGTCCCCTTGCATACAACATTGCTAATCTTATTGTAATCCATAAAAGAAATAGATATAGTAAATATAATTAGATGAAGTAATTGCTGTTCAGGAGAATAAGGGCAACTGAACCATGATGTTTCCAGAAAGAAGCAGAAAGCACTCAATATTATTTTATCAAATGAACGTACCTGAAGAAGAATTGTATTCATATAATATTTGTTTTTGCATAATATACAAAACCTATTTATCTTTGAATAGTTTTTGTCTTTTCCCCAAAGGCACTAAGATGGCAACAATGGACATTTGGGTCTGTTAGAGTGAGGAGAGAAAGAGGGTGGACAAAGGTAAAAAAATTAACTATTGGTACTATGCTCAGTACCTGGGTGACAGGATCAATCATATCTTAAACCTCAGTATCATGTAGTAAACCCATGTAACAAACGTGCACCTGTACCTGCTGAATCTAAAATAAAAATTGACATAATTTTAAAAAAAGCCTTAGATAAATAGACACTCTACTAAATTAATTAAATTCTAGGAATAATAAAGAAATAAACCTTGGAAAGTTCAAATAGTACTAGTGGCTGTTTAATTGAATATTCCTGAAATAAAGCTCAAAAACTAATACTAAATTATAAAATTAAGCTATATTCTTTCATTAGCAGAGATGAATGAATTCTGCTTACCTCCAACATAAATAATACAAATGTATTTAAATGTACAATTATTCAGCAAGCAACAGGGTGAGTACATACATGCAAGCAGACAGTATATCCCAAAAATTGGATCCTAAAGTCTGCTGGTAAATCTATTACTGAAGATTAAAAATAAGTCCATTGTCCTCAATAGAAACCCTTCAAAATAGTAATCACATACTGCCATTGTAAGGATGAAACTTAACTGTAGAAAAGATCTTTTTGTACTTTCAGACTCTTAACTTACAAATTAGTGCAAATCACCTAAAAATTCAAACTCTTAATTTCTAATAAAAATTCTGAGGCTTAGAAATGAGACTTTCCGACAGCAGTCATTTGGAGTCCATAGCATCAGGTGCACATGCTTTCCACTTGACCATCGTCCTCCTGCCCCTCATCCCACTGATTCCTGTACACTTTATGGAGTAGGTGCTGCTCATGTGTGGCAGCAAGAAAGAGTCTGCTCCTGGGAACCTCCCACACATGGATCTGACAAAGGTCTTATTTTAACAATTCTTACATTTCTGAACAGTATAACTTGCTACTGAGGTTTAAGCAGAAGATAGTTAGGAAGACCAGAAAGTGGGGAAAAGTAGGGACTATTCATTTGACTGAGATGGTTCACATCAAACATTCACAATGGGTACTGTACGCACTGAAAAATATTAGTATATTGAAAAATACATAATAGATTCCAGTAAGAAAACACAAAAACACTTTCAGTATGTACAGAGCTCATTTAACTGGCTCTTTTTAAAAACAATAATAATAATTATTATTATTATTACTCTTTTGAGACACAGTCTTGCCCTGTTGCCCAGGCTGGAGTGCAGTGGCGAGATCTCCATTCACTGCAACCTTGGCCTCCCAGGTTCAAACGATTCTCCTGCCTCAACCTCCCATGTAGCTGGGACTGCAGGCACGTGTCACCACGCCCGGCTAATTTTTTGTATTTTTGGTAGAGATGGGGTTTCACCATGTTATCCAGGATGGTCTCAATCTTCTGACCTCGTGATCCGCCCACCTCGGCCTCCAAAAGTGCTGAGATTACAGGCGTGAGCCTCTGTGCCTGGCCAGAAAATTGTTTTTTAAGATCTTAATTTCATAAAGAAATGTCACAAACCATGGCTCTTTAATTTTACATTTTGATAAATTTTAGTTTATCTTTATAATTAAAATTAAGAAAAATAATTGTAGTGGTGTCAAAAAATACTGGTCATTGCACAAAAGCATTGACTTTTTTTTTTTTTTCCTTGCAGCTAAAAATTCCTCCTGCAACATTTATTCAGAGTTTGAATGTGGAAATGGTGAGTGCATTGACTACCAGCTCACCTGTGATGGCATTCCTCACTGTAAGGATAAATCAGATGAAAAACTGCTCTACTGTGGTAAGTGTCCAATATGGGTTTGCTCATTTCAGATAAAGTTTTCTGATTCTTTTACAGTTTTTGGTTTGCTTGTCTCTGTTTGGTTTATGTGGATAATTTCTTTAATATTTCTCATTAACCTGTTGATCTAAGGCAATTGATGTGGCTTTGCTTGTGTTAAAATGAGGTGCTTTATCTCCTATTCTATAGCCATGATATTCACTAAATAATTTCTTCATGGTTTTATATCCACAAAATAGACTTTTCTTTTTTATTTTATTTTATTTTATTTAAAGAGACAGAGTCTCATTGTGTTGTCCAGACTGGTCTTAAACTGCTGATCTCAAGCAATCCTCCTACCTCAACCTCACAGAGTGCTAGGATAACAGGTCTGAGCATCACATCCAGCCAGAATATGAATATTTTTAAAAGTAGCAGCTAATCTTCTGAACTCCCTACTTATTCATCTCTAGCAATAGGTTTTAGGTTTACTTTCCTTAAAATGTAACTCAGAAATATCAGTGGTTTTTGGACATGGACAGGCTTACTCTGAAGCAAAGTTTCACCAACAGACAATAGCACATTGTTGGGTTATTATCAAAGTCTTGTCAGTTCTATTTCTGTCTCCAGGATTAGCATGGGAGCTAGTGTCCTTTGGTACAAAGGCTCATTTCCTTAGGCACGGTCCACATCAAACATAGAATTCCACCAGCTATGCTGCTTTTGGTAACACTTAGTGACAGTCAACCTCTAACCTCCCTTAGGAGTAGAGATTAACTTTTATGCTCTAGTAAGCAGCTGAGATTTCCCTTCATTGCAACAATATTTTTCCTGGAAATCTGCCTTTGCATAATCATTGATAATCATTGTATATTTGATCCAGATTTTTAAAAAATGGTCCTGATTTATTTTTAATCCTGGAAATCCAATAGCATTGGGCTCATATGCTATGCAAAATTTAGGAGTCTATATCTGAAATTGCTACATTTTATGTCTACTTTTCTCCTCTATTCCATTATCTGGTAATAATTACACCTGAATAATTAAAGAAAAGTCAGAACAAGGGAAAGACAGGATCTGTGAGTTCCACAGACAGTCTTCTCACTCGTTTACATTACATGATAACACACCATCATTTAAACTGAGAGACTAATGTAATTTGTCCATAATTGATATGCAACCAATATCTTAAAGAATTTATCTCAAATAACATATTCGCTTTAATGGATGGCTATATTCTATAAGATATAAAAATATTAAAGCATATAAAAGTAATAAACTCACAGGTTTGCATTCACTATAAGTTGACTTGAGATTATATTTCATGTTACTTTTATCTTTGTGGAAGTCAGATGATACTCGTGTAGAGCAGGAGTTGGCAAGCATTTTCTGTGAAGGTTCAGCTGGTAAATATGTTAGGTTTTGTGGGTCATATATGCTTTCTGTCACATATCCTCTGTTGTTTATTATTTATCATCCTTTAAAAATGTTAAAACTATTCTTAGTCCAATAGCGATATGAAAACAGTCTCACAGGCTAGATCTGGCCTATGGGTAATAGTTTGCCAATGCCAGGTGTAGAGTATGGGCTTTGGACTCACACCTGAAGTTAGATCTTTGTTCCCAAACCTGCTAGTGTAACTAGCCTAGTGTACAAACCCTAATGTGACTAGGGTAAGTAACATAACTCACTTCTCTGTGTTTTAGTTTTCTGCTATGAAATAGCTAGCTCTTATGAGTAGTTGAGAGTATTAAACCAGCAAGTATTTATCTACATATACTCAGTACAGAGCCTGGGGCAAAGCTGACGTTTAATACATGACGGCTATAATTATTGTAAGTAGTAGCTTCTGCCCCAAATCAGAGAATGTCAAGAAAACTTTATAATGGTAAATAGAACTCAGAAGGTCATTCTTTCTCAGGGAATTCTGTAGATATTTTAAGATAATTTTTAAGAGCAATTTGTTGATATTTAGATGACTCCATGAGACACTGATTCAGGAATACATGTTTTGTTGCTTTTTCTCCTCGTTATAAAATCCTTGCAGATAGATGCAAAGGATATAGGAAATGGATGTTGGAGTGTTTTTGTTATGTTTGAGGTACATATTTATTGCTTCAGAATTGAATACGTGATATATGTTTATTTCTGTGCTACTTGACATAATTGCCAGAAACAATAACATGGGTATAACTTGAAAAGATCTCCAGGCATGAATGACTAAAGTTAAAACACTAAGTCAGAAAGGGCCCTTGCTGAATGAACTACTCTTTGACAATACAGAAACATTCTAATCCACAGCTTTTGTACTGCACAGCACTTGTTTTATAGATCCATAATCCAGTCATTATGAATGAAATATTATCTGTGATTTTCATTTTGTACAAATATTTCTATATGATCTCTGGTTATGAGTTTCTACTTTTATTTATAAGAAAACAGAAGCTGTCGAAGAGGCTTCAAACCTTGCTATAATCGCCGCTGCATTCCTCATGGCAAGTTATGTGATGGAGAAAATGACTGCGGAGACAACTCTGATGAATTAGATTGTAAAGGTAAATACTTGTTCCATCAGTTGCGGAGTATTGGTGTGCTAAGTGTTTCCTGAACTTTTCCAACATTCATTTCTGAGAGCTCTATGGTATATAACACCTAGTAACATCTATGGATCACATTTTGGTAAATGCTGTTGGAATGGAGTTGCTAAAGTTACTTGAAAATTCTGACTATGTTCTCTATTTCTGTTTTCTATTTGTTTCCTCACTTTAAAACACTTATAATTTCTCACCTCTTCAGTTCCACCTTCCTGAATTTGGACATTTCTACCAGAATGTGTAATATTGAATTTTCTGCTCCAAAAATGTTCCCCTTTATCCCTTAGTTCTCTGTTTTTCTCACGATCACATTTTCCTAACCACTGTACAGGAAACTTTGGTGTTCTCCTTAATTTCTCCTTCTCACATATCCAATCATCAACACATCTTCCAGTTCTTTGAAATAGCTTCCATTTCAATCCAATTTAAGCCTGGGTTAACAGAGTATCCCTTTACCTGGTTTCCCTGCTTATACTTTTTCCATTTCATCCCAATGTCATTAGTCATGCTAATACTGTTTAAGATTTCCCCAAAGTGACTATTGGGATAGATGATGAAGCCAAATTACCTGAGTTCAAACTGCTGCTTCAACACTTACTGTCTAAATTCGGATATTGCACTTAACTATTCTGTGTCTCAGTTTCCCAAACAGCAAGGTAGGAAAAATAATGAAATAAGAATAACAATATTAAATAAGTTTAGAACAGTATTTGGCAATAGTGAATGGTGTATTAGCACTGGCATGTGTGTGTGTGTGTGTGTGTGTGTGTGTATTGCACTGATAAAGAAACCTTTAATGGAATGTCAATGTTTGCAGAATACATGATAAGTTTTAGTCTGACATTGAAAGCCTTCTTAAATCTGGACCCCACAGATATTTCCAAAGCATTATCACTTTAAAGCCTTTCCATTCAATGAACACATTTTATTGACTGCAATGCATTAAGATTTGAGACACAAAATTCATGAGATACGTGCCTGCACTCGAGAATATCAAATTCTAACTGTAAGACAGCCATGTAAACAGATGAAGATATATATCTGTGATTGCACACATAAGAACACCCATATGTCTTTTTTTGTTTTTTGGCTTTGAAGTATCCTCAAAGGTTTCATAGGCTATACTGAATTTAAGCTGAGTCTTAAACTAAAAATAAGGTAGAATGAAGGAAACAAAAGAGAATACCAAGTAGAAGGACTAGTATTGAAACTGAAAGTAATTTGATATAGTCACAGACAGATTACATATAAGAAAGTGGTAAAAGCAGAAGGGGCCAGGCACAGTGGCTCATGTCTGTAATCCTAGCACTTTGGGAGGCCGAGGTGGGCAGATCATGAGGTCAAGAGATCGAGACCATCCTGGTCAACATGGTGAAACCCCATCTCTAATAAAAATACAATACAAAAATTAGCTAGGCGTGGTGGCAGTCGCCTGTAGTCCCAGCTACTCGGGAGGCTGACGCAGGAGAATCGCTTGAACCCAGGAGGTGGAGGTTGCAGTGAACTGAGATTGCGCCACTGCACTCCAGCCTGGTGATAGGGCGAGACTCCTTCCCCCCACCCCCCAAAAAACAAAAACAAACAAACAAACAAACAAACAAAAGAGAAGGTAGAGGAAGGGGCCAGGGCATGAAGATGCATTTTGTGCCATGAGAAGTGACTCAAACTTTATCTTGTAGTCACTAGAGAGTCACTGAAGGTTTAAAGCAGGCCAAATACAATCAAATTTACATTTCAAAAAGGAAAGAAAAGAATAGGATTGTGTTAATGAAACCTGTAATAATACGATTTGTTTGTGTGGGAATGGGGATAAGACAATGATGACAGTTTGCATTTTGAGGTTGGAGCACTTGAAGACATGTAAATGAAGCTATTTCACAGGCATGTAGATAGGTAGAGATTTGGAACTCAGGTAATAGATGTTTATCAGAAATATTGATTTGGGGCACATTAAGGAGAAAAACTCAGAGAGGAAGTGTGGAGTAATGATTGCATGAGTAGAGTGCATCAAAATTACTTATTGAAATAACAAATTATATACGGAAAAGTGAAGTAGCCTGCAGGACTAATAGAAGGATGTGCTTAAGAAATTATTATCTCAAGAAAGGAGGGTCATTCAGCATTTTCAAGTGCTACAGAAAGGACAAGAGTGCAGGTATGAACTGGAGGTATCCATCATATTTGGCAAATAGTAGACACTCACTTGATTACATTCATGGGTGTCATTTCAGTGGAATAGTAGAGGAAAGCAAGAGCACATAGTGTGAAGGCAGAAAATGGGTGATAAGGAATAAAGACAGTTAATATAAACTGTTTTTAGAAAAGATTGATGGTAAAAGAAAGGTATGAAGTACAGTTGTGATGACAGGGCTATGCAGAGTTGAGGAAGGGGGCAGAATGTGTGCAAATTATTTTGTAGCTGTATGGAACATTGGGAAGTTACTCTGCCATCTTAGACAGTGTGACTTTGTGGAAACACTTGCATAGATTATCATCTAAGGTTGACACTGTAGCTTAGAAAGAGCTAATGGCATTTGCCAATTAAGTTACCTATTAACTTAATTTAAAAAGGATTTAAGAAGATTTAAAAAGGTAAAATATAGTCAGACACTGGAAGTAGGAGGAGGGAAATAAATTAGCATTTGGAAGAAAGGTGGAAAAGAAATTAGAAGACCTAGAAATAGATATATTCTGTCAATTATTTGTAAGCAGGAAAGGAAAATATAATATAGGCATTAACCCAGGTTAAAGGTAAAGCAATCAAGAAAGAATGTACCGGAACTGAGCAATAAATACAGAAAATAGATTTTAAGGCAAGATTCATCAAAATAAACTGTGAGAAGATGATACGTTACTATGGGTTTTCTCCAGAAATGAAAGTGTATTTTCAAAAGTGGTAAGTAAATTAGTGTGTTTGGGTTTATGAAATATAATACCTCATATATGGTAGGTGTTTATTATATTCTTATGTGGCTGGTTGAAGCAGTAAGTCTTCTAAAATATAAATAGATTTTATTCTGCCTAATGATATCAATACCAGCTGCTGAATAACAATAAAATAACTTAAATAGATATTTCCTCCTTTTCAGTCTAAACTCTTGATTTCTGTGTTATAACTATCTTAGTCATACTCTTGGGCACAGAACAGTGCCTTCGTGAATTAAGCTTCTCTTTTAACCTTTCTTTTATGGTAAAATTATAACAGTTGGATATCTTAAAAATAAACAAGCAAAACTTATGCCTTAAAGCTGGTCACGCTGAATGCAGGACATTTGAAACTAAAATTGCGCATGGAAACACAAGCATATACTTTATTACTTAATAGAAACTAGTGAATTTAATTCAATGGACTAACTCCTTTAGGATAAACAATTGGTAGCTATTTGGATGAAAGATTACTCTTAATTGAATCTTTTAGTTTTGACTTTTCTCTCATTTTAAGTTTATTAACATAGTGTCATTGTAGACTACCTTTCAAGCTATAGAAGGAAGACTTCCCTGGGTCCATATCCCATAAGTCAGGCTGTCTGATAAAGACTTATATTATGCAAAAGTGTTTCCACCAAATATCTCCTTTATAGTACATAAAAGATGATAAAGGAAAAGGCATAGATAAGGGGTTCAGGGAAAATGGAAAAGAGGTCTCTTTCCAAGCCCTTTCTTCCAGTTGCCCCTTCTCTCTTTCTATTGTCAGTGCAATGTAGAGATGCAGTGCTGTTTTGCACATATATGCAGACATGCAAATCACCTATCACTTTTTAATCAAAATAAAATGTAAAAGATAAAGTAATATAATTAGAAGTCGGGATGTACAAGGAGATTTTGATAGACTGTGGTAAGAGGCTATCGTGGAGCCATCTGTAAATTATCTGAAGTACTACTATAGTTTGCTGAATGTAGATGTCAGTAGTAATTGTGACTTTTTTAAAATTTTGCGAGAGCAGAGAGTCTATTTACAGAGTAGAAAGGGTGTTGCAATGAATTGCTTTTGGCTTCTTCTCTTTTGGGGGGAAAAAACCATGCCAAATCTTCATCATTTTTTAAATTTACTGCCCCTTTCTAGAGGCCCTTTCATGACTGAGAGCTTTAGACATCAGGCCATCTGCAGGTGCGGAGATGAGGCATTGTTCGTAAGTGTGTCATTTTGTGCTGCTCTTCTGGTTGCGTGGCAGGGTGAGTGAATACATTCAGGGAGAGTGCACGATATGCTTTCTTCCCTGTTGAGATGAGTACAAACTGCTCCCTTTGGGAAGTACATGAAATTCCTTAGGGCCACGGAAGGAGTTTTAGGTAGACTGAGCCAGCAGTTCTGATGCTCCTTAAAGGAGGGGAAACTAGCATTTGTTTTTTCCTAAGTTTATAGTAAACCTTTGAAATATTCCATAAACAACAAGCTAAAGGAAAAGGATAAACATAGCTGGAGAAGAAACTGGCATTCCTTCTGGATTTGTGCACCCTTAGAACCTAAGGGGTGAATTAAATAATTAAATAAAAGATGTTGTTTGAAAGTAAATGAAAGGGAGATAGGAGAGCAAACTTAATGCTTCCCCGCCCCGCCCCCCTTTTCAGTTTCCCTTTGCTACAGGTTGGGTAAGGGATGTTGGAAGAGAGAATTGACTTAAGTTATTTATAAGAAACATCCTAAGAACCGCAGAAAAGCCATTGATTTTTAAATCTTTCAAATCTCATTAAATATTTTAGCTGACATGCTAAAAAGAAAGTGGAAGAAATAGTAAAATTAAGAAAGTATATTAGAGAGAATGGTTTTACTTTCTCTCTTGCTGCTACTTTTGATCCACAGTCCCTGACAGATCTTCCTTTGTAGTGCCTCATTGCTATTCCTGCTGTGGCTGTAGGGTGTTTTCACTCATGTTTCATAGGCTTACTTTTTCTTTTGGACTACCTGGAGGGAAAAGTGTAGTATCTCTCCCTCGGCTTATCTTTATTTGGGCCATATTATTTTATTTTCTCTCCTTATCAGGACTCTTAGCCTGAGGAAATGTTGTCAGAAAACTTTCATATTCACTTGACAAATTAGAGATTTCAGTATCTTTCTTCCTCAAAAATCACCATATGGATGAAACAAATTCCAATATTTAACTGACTAAAACAAAGTGAAGAAGAAATATAGTTGAGGCAACAGAGAGAGAGAGGTTTTGGCACGAGATGTGTTTACTTATCTAAAGAAGTTCCTACTATTTCTGCAGATTTTTTCTTCCTCACAGGATCCTCCTTCCTTGCCCGTTAATGCAGGAGATATTAATCCCCACAATCACCTTGCTCATATTGCTTACAAAATTCTGAAACAACTTTCATCACCCTATCTAACTCTCTGGTGGTTCTCAACCCTATACCAAATAATGCAACATGTGGAGACAGGATCAGGTACAAAGGGACAGTCTGTTCTTACTTGCACATCTTACACACTCTGATAGCCCATCCTTGCCCCCCTCCGAAGGATTCATTAGCCCTATTGTTATTTTGAAATATAGGAGAAAAAAATTAATACATCCTGCAAGTCTTCTATTCTTTGTTCTGTACTGTGAACTTCCTCCTTTATCTATTTCCTTATGCTTTTTAGTATAGTTTTTTAAAAAAATTATTACTTTCTAACCCCTCTTCTGAACTTCAAAGTTAAAGTTTCTTTTCATGTAGTTTGAGGTCCTCTATTTCTTTCTTGTTTCCAGAACTCAATCTAGGACTGTGTTCCATTTGTCCCACGTGTCCTTCCACTGTTCTCCCAAGTTATCCTTTATTTTCTCTGTTACCTCAGAACTTCCAGTACTGGTTGTTGAAACCCTATTACTGTGAAATCCCCCTGAATTTCCAGTTTTCTTGACTGTCTGAAATGCCATTCTCTACATTTGCCTCTTCGTTGTCTCTGCCACTACTTCTCACTCAGACAGAGGATTCTCTATAGGAGATTGGAGGCAGATGGTGACCATGAAATGAGTGACAAGTGTCCCCATTAGCATCTTCCTGGCATCCAAAACTCTAACTTCAAGTAGATAGAAACTCTAGTGCATTATGAGATGAACTATTATAGGCTTACTTAGGAATATTATAACTACCTAAAATGTTATTAAGCAGAGAAATGTGATATGTCTTTTAAAAAGAGATTATAAGCTATCTTTTAGAACAAAGTTAATAAGAAACTACTAGTAGATGGTGAAGCCAAAAACAAAACATAAATGATTGACATGATTATATTCTACATTACATATTGCATTTACTATTTCTATTGAAAAAATAGAATATGAAATGTAACACAAAAGAATATAAAGGAGGTTTTGCTCCTATGGACATAAAAGAAAATAATTTGTTCTGTTTTGGAACAATGCATTTATCTCTACTTGTAAGAGTATTATCTGTTTCACATGTTGTGATATCATTTTTAATAAAAAAGTGAAGCAATTATAATTGCAAATTGTAAATAAAACATTTATTCTAATCGTCATTTAAACAGATAAGTATGCAATTTTGAGATACAATTCAATATAATAAGAACCGTACATTATGAAATACAAATGACATACACATCCTTGAGTAAAATCTGCATATTTTAAAATAGCATTTTAACCATTTACGATTGATATAATTTCTATTTATAATTAAATAGGCACTTTAAAATATCAACACTAGTAAAAGTGGCATAATCAAAGGGCCCTTCAGGTTATCCTTCGAGGTAATCAACTTGTAAAAATTTGAATTTGGAATAAAAATATCACCTAAGTTAATTTAACATACATAGCATGTAATGTACCCATTTACAGCATTTTACTGGAAACCATTATATGATTATGAATGGGTAAGCAACATAGAAAGGACTATATGATTAAAAATAAGATACTTTATACAAAATGTATATAATGACAATAGCGTATTGAATCTAATTTTCATTGAAGTAGAGCAGAGAATTGGATGACTTTTATAACAACAATAATAAGGAACGACACATTTATATGTTCCTGGGCATGAGGCATCCTATTTCTTATATTAAATATTAATGATGAATGGTCATGTAACAGAGTATGAGATAGCATGGATGACTTTCTAGTAGTGGTAAACTCTTCCCTCTGAGAAACAAAGCCAGTGCTCAGTGGTTCCCCCTGCCAATCTCTTTGTTCCTGTTTCTATCTCTATCTCACTCTATTATGGCAAGAAATGCTTCCCTTCTTGGCAACCAGGTTGGGATTTCCCAGTAGGTATTTAATCAGGCATTTGTCTACTCTCATAACCTTGGAATATTGAAGGTGGAAAGAGAGAGAATCTCCAGCATTCTTTTTTTTTTTTTTTTGGCTCAGTACTAGGGTGATATTACCACAACAATGTGATAGGAACACAGCATAGTCCCTACTCTCATGGAGCTTACGTTTAGTTAGTGAGACTGCAGGGACTTAAACAGGCAGCCTCAACGCAATATGCTAAATACCACAACAGAGAGAAGAATTGTGTGCTAGGGGAAGACATATAAGAGGCATCTAACCCACACTTGAAGGTGGGGTTCAGGGGTCAGGTTTGGCTTCTCAGAGTTACAAAAGCAAAACCAAACAAAATTATACAAAATAATTGAATTGTTCAAAAAGTAAAAGCAAGGAGTCATTCTGTCCCGTCTCTCCATTTGTTTATGTACCTGTTTCTCTAGTTTCAACCTGTGCCACAGTTGAGTTCCGCTGTGCAGATGGGACTTGTATTCCAAGATCAGCACGATGCAACCAGAACATAGACTGTGCAGATGCTTCAGATGAAAAGAACTGCAGTAAGATATTCCGCTACCTTTCATCTGTTTATGCTTAGGCACTTTTGGCATTGCATTGAACACTGTGCAAGATTTTACTGAACTTTGTCCAAAATTGGTATGTAATTAACCCCTGTTGTGTAGGATAATTACATATCTATTTCCTCAAATGAAGTTAACTTTTCTCATCTCTGTGACCTACGTAGAAGGCTCATAATCTTTGCAAATGAGATACTTTTTCATTTTTTTGTTTACCTTCTTCTAGATAACACAGACTGTACACATTTCTATAAACTTGGAGTGAAAACCACAGGGTTCATAAGATGTAATTCTACTTCACTATGTGTTCTGCCAACCTGGATATGCGATGGGTCTAATGACTGTGGAGACTATTCAGATGAAATAAAGTGCCCAGGTAATACTAGATTTTAGAAAAACATGGGCTTTGCCATGGAGATTTTGAGGCTACCTAGTTGTATAGAGTAAATTTGTTAATTTTCATTCTTAATATCAATTATTGACATTAAAATTTAAATGACACAGACTAAAATGTAATTAACCTGTTCTAAACATACCACTTGATCTTTTTAAGTGAGTTAAAAAATGATAAGAAACTGTCCTAAATTTAGATCAATTTTTAATGTTTAGTTTATTAATCCTTTCAGAATTGGTGATTAAGTCTTTCAAATCTGTAATTTATAATTCTTCAACAGAATTATTACATACCTAGAAATAACTTCATAAAAGAAGAGAAACAATGTTTCTTATGACTGGCTTTACTCAGTGTTATTGTACAGCAATGTTGTAATGCAGTTTACAAAATCCTTTGGTGTAGTAATTTGAGTAATAGTTATAATCATTGTTGAATCAAGTTAAGACAGGTTTATTTATATCTGACTGTTACCAATCTTTACACACATATGCCCTGAAAACTGTCATCTACATTCTTAGAAGAATGCCTTCCAGCAAAGTTCTTGACTGTTTCTTTCTATTTGAGGACATGAAAAAAAAAAAAATATATATATATATATAAAGAACTATGTATAACTGGAAGTAGAGATTCTATGTAGGACATTATTACATTTTGTCTCATACTTGTTTGCCTGTCTCCACTCTGCTGCTACACCCATGTTTTTCATGTTTAGTTGATATGTAGTAATTTTTAAGCTATTTTAAGAAATGATATTCATAAGTATTTTGCACAAAAGTTTATGCACACACAATCTACTATGGAAATCTGATATTTTAGTAGATGATACATTTATTATTTCTAAATTTGTGATGGTTCTTTTATCATGTATAAAATATAATTATTTAAATTTTTATTTTACAGTCAGAGTGGGCATGTGCAGGCTTATTACTTGGGTATATTGCATGATGCTGAGGTTTGGGCTTGTATGGATCCTGTCACCCATTTAGTGAACATGGTACCCAATAGAAAATTTTTCAACCCTTTGCCTCCTTCCTCCCTCTCCCCTTTTGGAGTCCCCAGTATCTATTGTTCCATCTTTACTTTGTTGTGTACTCAATGTTTGTCTCCCACTTATAACTGGGAACATGTGGTATTTGGTTTTCTGTTTTTGTATTGATTTACTTAGGATAATGCTCTCGAGCTGCATTCATGTTACTGCAAAAGACATGATTTCACTTTTTTATGACTGTATAGTATTCCATGGTGTATGTGTACCATATATTCTTTATCAAGTCCACTAGTGATGGACATCTACACTGATTTAATATATTTGCTATTGTGAGTAGTGTTTCAATAAACATATGAATGCATGTATCTTTATTTTCCTTTGAGTATGTGATGAGATTGGGTTAAATCATAGTTCTACTTTTAGTTTTTGGGAAATCTCCAAACTACTTTTCACAGGGGTTGAACTAATTTACACTCCTATCAACAGTGTGTGTTTCTTTTTCTCCACAACCTTACCAACATCTTATTTTTTGACTTTTTAAACAAAAGGCATTCTGACTACTATGAGATGGTATCTCGTCGTTTTGATTTGCATTTCTCTCATGATTAGTGATGTTGAGCACTTTTTTATGTGTTTGTTGGACACTTTTATGTCTTCTTTTGAAAAGTGTCTGTTTCTATACTCGACCCCTTTTTAATGGGGTTATTTGTGTTTTTTATTTCTTATTGATTTATTTAAATTCCTTATAGATTCTGGATATTTGTTCTTTGCCAGATATATAGTTGGAAAATATTTTCTCCCAGGGTACCTGTTTACTCTGTTGATAGTATTTTTGGTGTTGTGCAGAAGCTCTTCAGTTTAATGAAGTCCCACTTGTCAATTTTTGTTTTTGTTGCAATTGCTTTTGAGGACTTAGTCATAAATTCTTTTCCTAGGACTGTGTCCAGAAAAGCATTTCCTAGAATTTCTTCTAGTATTTTTTTTTTAATTAATTTATTATTATTATACTTTAAGTTGTAGGGTACATGTGCATAACGTGCAGGTTTGTTACATATGTATACTTGTGCCATGTTGCTGTGCTGCACACCATCAATCGCATTTACATCCAGGTATAACTCCCCAATGGCCGGATCCTCCTCCCCCTCCCCATGAATAGGCCCCGGTTGCTGATGTCTCCCCTTCCTGAGTCAAGTGATTCTCAGATATGTTCAGTTTCCCACCCTATGAGTGAGAACCATGCCGGTGTTTTGGGGCTTTTCCTGTTTCTTGGATAGTTTCTAAGAATGATGGGTTCCAGCTGCATCCATGTCCCTACCAACGGACCAAACCTCATCCTTTTTTATGGCTTGCATAGTATTCCCATGATTAAATATGTGCCACATTTTCTTTAATCCATCTGTCACTGACAATGGACATTTGGGTATGATTCAAGTCTTCTGCTATCTTTGTGAATAGTGCTGGCAATAAACCCATACCCGCCTACGGGTGCAATGTTCTTTATAGCCCAGCACTAATGTAATAATCCTTGGGTACTATACCAAGTAATGGATGGGCTTGGTCATATGGGTAACAGTCTACTTCCTAGATCCTTGAGGAATCGCCATACTGGTTTTCCATAACTAGGTTGAACTAGTTTACAATCCTCACCCAAAAGTTGTAAAAGTTTCCCTATTTCCTCCACAATCCTCTCCAGCACCGTTGTTCCTGAACTTTTGGATGACGCCATTCTAACGGTGTGAAGATGGTAGCCATTGGTGGTTTTTTGGATTTGGCATTGTCTCTGATGGCCAAGTTGATGTGAACATTTTTTCATGTGTCTGTTGGTGTAGAAATACTCT